ATGCCTCAATATTTTGGGGACATTTTGCTCTTCATCGTCTAATGAATAAATTTATGAGAATTAGTCAAAAGTTATGGCTGGTAGCAAATACTACTGCATTCCTTTCAAAAAGGATGGTAATCCCGGCACTTCCTTTAGTTGTTCCATATGCTAAGTAGCATCTTTACAGCTATTGAACTTCTAGTCTCCTTTTTGCTACTAACAATAATGCAAAGGTGAATGTTTTTCATGCAAAATTTGTGTGCACATTTAAGTAGTGGTAATGGTATTGGGCCAAAGACACAGATATACCAAAAATAGGATAACCTTTTAATTTCTCTCTACTGAATTTAGGGTATGTAGTTCCCAAGCTGCAGTTGCCAGTTTGAGGCAGTGTGCTTCCATGGTAAGCCTGGTTACCTTAAAGAGTTGTCCATGGCATCCGCTGGAGCCCTGAGGGTTTGCACACCTTCCTGGCTTTGGGAGGACGTCTGCTTCCACCACCTCTGCACAGGTGCAGCTCAGCCTGTGGTCTTGTTTGGCTTCTTGTTGCTGCAGATGCTGCCTACGGCCCCTTCGAGCTCTGGACTGTAGGTTCACACTCAGTGGTCTCAACTGCAAGAAGTACCTTGTCAGATCTCCCAGCGCTCATCCTGCTCGCTTCTGTTCCCTGAGCCTGGAAGGGGATCCTCAGGTGTGCGGGTCTGTGCTTCCTTACCCACCAGTCTCCTTGACACAGTGCTGCCCAGTGGGGCTGGCACCTCCTCTGGCTGCTCTCCAAGAAGCTGGGCAACCAGCTAGTCTCCATCATCCTTCCAGAAGCATCGAGGGATCCCATTAGTTTCTGTGGTTTTGATGTTTGGTTTCCATTTCTCCACCCACGTCCTAAGTGTCAGTTCTGGGTCCCCTGAGACTAGGGACACACACCCGAAGCCTGTTGACCAAATGCTTGATTTTGTGCAGCAAAATAGCCTTTCCATCATTCAGTTTTTCTTCTCTCCATAATTATAGTAGAAACTCTGTTAAGTTTTTCAGCCTTGCTTTTGATTTATGAAGACAGGCTTTTAGAATAGAAGGAAAAAAAATACCTTTCCCTGTTCCATTTCTGGAAACTGCTTTGATTTTCAGATTTGTGTCAGCTTCAGGTTTATAAAACTATTTACGAGCTGAAAACCCACACTGACTTTGTGTTGGATTGGGTTGCCTTTCCTTGTAGAAGAAATCATGCAGAAGACTCAAGCTTGATGTAGGAGAGATAGAACTTCCAGCCTGTGAGATGTCAGATGTGCCGAGTCCATGGTCCCACAACACCAAGGACCACAAACCAAAGGAAGAAGTTAGGAGAGTTTTATTGGAAATAAGGAGAGAAGAACAGCTTCTGGTTTTCCAGTAGGGGTCGAGAGTGGGGTGGCCTTGAGGCCCTTTGTCAGGGGTGATTTATACAGCAAAGTCACAAGTGGGGTACAACATGAGTCAAACTGCCATCAACCCATAGGATTACAGAGGTAGCCCTTAAGCTAATATTGATCCAATAAGGAAGCAGGTCATGTACCAAGAAAGGGTACATGGAAAAAACAAAGGCATTTTTGGGAAGGGATGGGTCCAGATGCTCTGGTCACTCACCTGGGCAGTTGATGCCTACCTGGACTTCCTGGACCAGGTGATACTAATTATAGTATAATTCCTAGTCACTGCTTATCCTTTAGGAAGGCATGGAGACCTGGCCATTGCATCTTTATCTTGAGACCTGGTCTTTAGATGCGCCTTTAGCCTCGATTCTGATCTCTTTCTTTTTCACTGATTCCTTGAGAGCCCAGTCCTTCTCTGACTGCATATTAATTTCTGTCTAAATTAGCTGCCTATACTAGGCTGGCATCTGAACATTGGGTGCGAGATGGACTTGGTTTGAGACAAGCAGGTGAGAGAAGATTTTTAATGGCCCCACAGAAATTAACTGCTTATTCAAATTACTCTATGCACACTTTATGCAAGTGTTAATTTTGTAGATGTAGCATAATTTAGTGGAAAGGGCCAGGTACTCTTTCAAGTGATCGTGTATGAGGTATAATTGAAAACTTTGGAGAATGTTTACATTTTAAAAAATTATTACAGTAAAGGACACATTGCGATGAATCCCCCTCAGGCAACTCCGCCCGCCCCCTTTCATCACACTTGCCCCATTGTTCCTGCCACTTTCTGAAGCAATTCTGGAAATTCTCCCTTGTGTCTTCACAAAGTGTGGGCAAAAGTGGTGAGAACTCCTGCTGAGTGCCATCCAGTGAGAAGGCAGACTCATAAAAATATTCCAAGGTGCCCCCCCCCAATCTTATTCACCTGAACTAGCACTGTGTGACTTCTGGGTCTTCCCTCAAGTCAAATGACAGTGAAAGGTAAGCATATTGAATTGATTCTGGACGTAAATGTCTCCCCTCCCCTCCCCTCCCTTCCCCTCCCCTCCCCTCCTCTTCTCTCCCATTCCCTCCTTTCCCTTTCTCTCTCCTTTGTTCTCTCCTTCCTTTCTCTTGTGGTACTAGGGATGGAACCCAGGGCCTTTGCATCAAGCTGTATCCCCAACTCTTTTAAATTTTTAATTTTGAAGGAAGGTCTAGCGAAGTTGCTCAGGCTGGGCTTGACGTTTTGATCATCCTGTTCAGGCTGCCAGAGTGCTGGGATTATAGACAGGGCTAACGGTGCCTGGCTGCAAATGTGTATTTATAACAAGTGTCTAGATGATGCTGGCCCAGGAACTTGCAAACCACTGCCCTGTCCCCTGGAGCATTCCTTATGTGCAAGTGCTTAGTAGTTTCTGGCCAAACCAATAAGAAGGGGGCCCATTATTGCACGGCCACTCTGGACAAGGGCTGGTCTCCGAATTGAGAGAATGAGATAACATGATTGATCACCAATAGATGAGCACAGTCTCTTGATTTAACATTTGCTGATTCCTTAACCTTGCTAAGACAATTATTTCTCCCTCCTCCTCTCTGTGTGAATGTCAGTTGTTGGTTACTCAGTGACCAAATCTTGCATGACAGGCCCGTCAGTCACTTTTCCCATGTCTTTGAAGGTAAAAAGTCAAGGTGAACTGTAGTAAGAACAGGTTTTGGGGAAGACCGGTGAGGCGTAATTTCAAATAGAGAGGAAGTTTAAAACAGCTTTTGAAAACAAAACTAAATGAAAATTCTCTGAAAGTTGTTTCTTCTAAAAGTTATAAGGGGGCTAAAGTTTGTTGCATTTTACTGGGAAGACAAAATGAGCCTCTGTAGGCTGTGGTGTTGCCCACCCACTTCCAGTAGAACCCCAGTGAGTTCTACTGACAGCTGCAGCTCACTGTAGCATGAGAAACCACTGATGCTGGTGCTGAGGGTTTATTCATATCTTCAATCTTTTTTTTTATTAATTGCTTTCTAAAAATGGATTGATGCTGAACTTTTCATCCTGAACATTTTGAAGAGTTTGAGTTACTTTTCTAGTTTTCATTAATGGTTAGGCCTCTTACTGTATTTGGAATTTGATGTATATCCATTTAAACTGCAAAGGTACGTGTTTGTTTGTTCTCTTTTTATTATTAGTATTTTAATGGTGCTGGAGATTGAATCTAGGGCCTTCACACTGAGCCACATCCTCAGCCTTTTATTTAGAGACAGGGTGGTGCCCAGGTTGGCCTTGAATATGGTGATCTTCCTGCCTCAGTTTTTTTGAATGCTGGAATTTCAGGAGTGTGCCCCGTGCCTGGCTGTTTGTTTTCTTAAAAAAAAATTTTTTTTCCTATAATCTCTAGGGAATTACTTTGTATTTTCCTTTTGGTAAAATTGTCTTTTTTTACAATGTTGGAGGTTGAACTCAAGGCCTTGCACTTGCCAGGAAAGTGCTTTACCACTGAGCTATACAACCCCAGCCCCTAGGTTAAATATTCTTAAGAGATATAACACAGATTGTTTTCCTAAGGACTTTTGGCAGCTGGCTTAGTTGACTGGGCTTGGCTCTGGAGTTTAATGGAGGGCTATTTCTCTCTTTGTGTCACAGCCTGAATTCAAGCAGTTCCTTTGCTTAGTTGATGCTAATTTGAAATAAGAAAACATCTTGGAGAAGACTTCAACTTCTTAGGGACCAAACAAGATGACTCTGTTGCCCACCTTCTCATCTGTAGAGGGGCATGCTGTCTCTGAGGGTAGTGCTTGAGCTGAGGGTCAGTGACAGACCTCACAGCTTAGCCTTCTATAAAACGTAAAGCTCCTGGCCTGTGGGAGGGAAAGCAGCCTTGGCCTAGCTTCTAAGGGCTGGAGAAGACACTGTTAGCCTCACAATTTCTTTTCATTAATTGTTTATTGGTATATTTTAGGTATACATAATGATCACATGCATCATAGAGAATTTGTACCCATACGTGATATATCTTGATTCTTTTTTCTCCCCATTTCCCTACCCTACTTTCAACCCATCCTCCCCTCATTTATAAAAGCTCTGTTTCCATTTTTCCTTCTTTTCTCATTTTTTTCTTTTCCCTTCCTTCCTCTCCCCACTCCTCCTTAGTTCCCCTTTCTATCTGAATATTTTCTTCCTATTTCACAATATCTATGATACATTTTGGTCCTTATTTATACCTTTGGTTTCTCACATCAGAGAAACAATGTGGTATTTACATGTGTGTCTGATTCATTCCACTTAAGAGTGTGGTCTCAAGGTGCATCCATTTAGCTAGAAATGTCTCAAGCTTCTCCTTCTTTATAGCAGAGTAGGACTCCATTGTATAAAAAACCCCCACATCTTCTTCATCCATTCATCAGTTGATGGGCATTTGGGCTGTTTCCAAGATTTTAGCTCATAATTTCTTACGCCCCACGGAGGTCCAGTGATCTCTTTTGTCTCTCACCAAATCCAAGTGTGAGATGATCATTTTTGTGGTGCTAGGGTTGGAACCAGGGCCTTTTACATCCTCAGCAAGCACTCACCACTGAGGAAGTGAAAGCGAATTCACACAGAGGCAAAGCAGTAAAGGTCTCTATTCTGTTTCCTTGTAGGTTAACTTCGTGGCATGCCAGCTCTTTGCCTTGTTTGCTGCTTTCTGGTTTCGCATCTACTTACATCCTGGGAAAACAAGTTCTGAGGTCCGGCATGCATTTGCCACCATTTTGGGCATTTATTTTGTCATTTTTTGCTTTGGCTGGTGAGTATGAAATTTATAAACTCTAATGTTTAGGGTTTGGTGTTGTCTTGGTTACTTTTTTCTCATTGCTGGGACAAAATACCTGACGCCCAAAATTAAGGAAGGAAAGGTTTATTTCGCTTACAGTTTGTGGAGGTTTCAGTCTGTACTTGGCAGATTATAAGGCAGAGTGGCACATGGCAGAGAGCTACGGCTTAGGGCGGCAGAACACAGCTAAGCAACAACCACACACCAGGGTGGAATGGGGGAGGAATGCCCTCAAGCAGCTTCTTCTTCTCCCTTACATATGCAAACTATTCATCCCAGGGTGGGTGTAGCTCTCACACCCATCAAACTCTAAAAGCCTGCCCCATGGCCGCTTGAGGCTTTGGGGGGACACACAGATTCAAACCACAACAGATGTCAATATTTTTTGCACTGAACTAAGATAAGAAATATATAGTATTATAAGATACCATGTGATAAACTATGAATTGAATATGAATTATAAAATATTTATTGTAAGGAAATGGAACCAATAAACTGACTACTCAGTGGATGTCAGTGACTTTTTTCTTAAAATTAGTCATAATAGCTGAATCTTGGAAGTGGTCCATCAGACAATGAATGGATACAGCAAATGTGTATATACACAATGGAGTACTACTCAGCCATAAAGAGGGATATATTTGGATTGTTCGTAGGAAAATGGATACACTTTGGGGCCATAGTATTAAATGAAATAAGCCATAGTATTAAATGAAATTAACCCAATGTGTAAGTAAAGAGAAAAATAAAAGATAGATGATAGGAAGCTTGCAGGCAGACTTTGTGAAGATGGGAAGGAAATCTGGGAATAAGATGAAAAAAGCGGGACAGGGCAAGGGAAAGGGGAAGGAAAAAGGTTTAAGATGTGATATGTATAGGTACCAATTTCACATAGTGAATGTATTGCAAACACATGCTAATAAAATAATTAATTTTCCAAAAGAGAAAAGAGTAGACTTCTACAATCCGGCAAATGGAATACTTGAAGATTTAATTTTTGCAAAGAAGGAACCTTTCCTGCCCTTTGCAAACATTGGTGTATTTGCGGCATCCCTGCTAGAGACACTGGTGTAGGCCCTGCATTTCTGGTGGAACCATGGTTTTAGTGCAGGTTTTAGGACTTTGAGTTATTCTGTAATGACAGAGAATGTTAAAGCTGGTAGATTGGACTTTCCTTTGCCAGGTTAAACTAGGCAAATACTGTGGGAGCAGCACTTCTTAGGAGAGAAGTTTTAGGGAGAAACAGGTCTAGAAGTGTATCTTCTGAAAATGTGTGAATTTGTCCAGGGTGTTAGAATACTGCTCCTGATTCTTCAACAAACGTTTGAGAAAAGGTGAGTCTTTTGAATCAGCCACTGGTAAAAGTCTTTGTACCTGGGAAAGCCTAGTTTTGGTATGGGTACTTGAAAAGAAATAAAGTACTGAAGAAAGAACTCCTTTCTCTGACTCTTCAGTTGTATACAGATAGGAAGAAAAGTGGAAGCATTCCATTTGTGGGTTCCTGACATTATTAGTGCTATGTCTGACAAACGAGGTCATGATTTCCTGCTGTCATTTTAAGACATAGTATCTTAATTACATAGAACAATATTTGGTTTATTTCCTTACATCAACATGAGTAACTGATCATTTGCTTTTTGGGGGCACTAGGAGTGGAGATGGAGCAGCCAGTAGGTATATTAGTATGAAATATATTCACCATGAATATTATTAGGTATATTAATATGAAATATATTTCTTTCCTTACGTCTTAAAGGTATTCCATACATCTTTTTGTGCTGGTGTTAATGTGTTACGGAATTCTGGTCACCGCAAGTGTATCCAATATTCACAGGTAAGACTTTGAGAAATGCAAAGTGAGCTTTGTGTATGTGTGTGATTTCTGCAATGTATTTCCAAGAGGAAGGTGTACTTTTTCCATTTTCCCCAAGTGGTGAATCTTACCTTCTCTAGGATGTGTTTCTTGTTTTTTTTTTTTTTGTCTTTTTTTGAGACAGGGTCTGGCCACATAGTTCAGGCTGACCTTGAGCTCACTTTGTAGCCCAGGCTGGCCTCGAACTCGCAACGATCCTCCTGCCTCAGCCTCCCGAGTACTGGGATTACAGGCGTGCACCACCACGCCCGGCCCTAGGATGTGTTTCTCATGCTTCTTCACAAGAAAACTTCTAGGGAGTGTTGCATAAGGTCTTGAATTCAGGGATGGTTTCCTGGGTGACTACATATATCCAAACTTATTAAATTGTGTACTTTAAATCTCTACAACGCAGTTATTTAAAAGGAAAGAAGGATGTTTGCTATGGTGTCCTTATTTTACAATACAGTCATAATTTAATTCTACCCAGAAGGCTCTGTGCTTGGACTCTCCACTGAGATGCCCAGGGTAGCTGTTTTGCCTTGTCTCTCTTTCCCATGGCCTTGCTCAAAACTCAGTGTTGACTCTGCCTTCTGGGGACACTGGAATGTAAGTTCTGTGAGAACAAAAGCTTTCTCTTTTGCTTATTGTTGCATGCCCAAAACCTAGAACAATACCTGGCACAAGTAAGGGCTCAGCAAGTATTTATGGAATGAATGAATGAAATGCTTTAAAAGGCACTTAGCCTTTTCTGGGTTCTTTTCTTCTCTCAACAAGCACATGCCTTTTGCCTTTTTTTCTTCCCAGAAAAACTCTGATTAATAAGACTGTCCACACAATAGTTTTCCTTCTTAAAAACATGGACGTTTAACTTTGGATATATAATTTTGTGGTTATTTGTTATCAGTTTATGATTTTCCGAGGAAAATATTGTTACAAGATTTTAAACTTTACAGTCATTCAACTGAGCATCCAAATGAGCTCTAAATATTTGGATTTTACTCCTTGCTGTTCTCAGTGCCATCCTTGAAAGCATGGTATCATTTCTTCCAGAAGGGAAACAGGAAATCTGTTTTGCTGATTCTAAAAAAAAACAAACAAACAGGTTTTGGTGTGCTTTACATATGACAGAATGCTGATCAAAGCTTTACAGTTTTTAAAATTAAATGACTAATAACAATATTGCATCTTGCTGAGCCATTCCTAATACTACCTACATGTTGTAATTTCTCAGCTCTCCCTACACCTATGTTGTGCTGCTGGGTGTAGCCCATTTTTTAACACCTGTTCCATGACAGACCCCGGTCTCTGGTGACTGGGAATGGAATATTCCGGCCTTGGCAGAGCTGAGCTGTCACACCAGGCAATGACTGTTTCATCACAGTAATGTTGTGGTAGCAGAGGGCTCCTCCATAACAGTAAGAAGGAAAGATGCCAAGTTCTCCTTTCGTTTGTTTGTGTGGTTGCCAGTATCACAGGGGAAGGGAGTGGGCCACAGTTCCCGATGGATGGACTCAGTGTAAACTTTAAAAGATATCCACAGTTGCTCTTTATTGATTCAGGGAGAGAGCCCTAGACTGGAGTTAAGAAATCTTGCCAGGCCACACAGGTTCTCTGTACACAAGTTGGGATTTGTAGTAGTTTGGAGGCAAATTATCTTCAAGAGTGTGATTCCATGATTCTTTGTGAATTACTCCTCTTTTTTACTTCACTCAGCCAGGAGTAAGGGTTCTGTCACATGGCTTAGAGGAGGAGGGAAGAATTAGTATTTGCTGCCATGTGTACCTAACCCATTTCTGAACTGATTGTCTCTCAGGAATTTTAAGAGAGTTCTTGAGAGTACCTCCTGTGTTCTCTTCTCTTCTCTTATGTTGGGCAGGCATCCCAGGCCTCAGTTTACCATGTATGAAGCACCTGGAATAGTGTTTTGTGTCTTCTAGGACAGAGACCAATGTAAGAACGTGGGGGTGCAGTTATCAATTCTGGACTTTCTGCCTTGTGTCAAGTCATGAACCAAACTCTTCTTAATGTATTCACTATTTTTGATGCATCAACTGTTTCTTAATACATCACTTACTATTTCATTTCGCTATTTCAAATATATTCTTCCTAAGCCAGCTCTATGAAATGTAATTCTTTTCTCCCTGAGATGAGGCAAGGAGAGCTCAGAGAAGTGAATATACTGTTGGATGAAATTTTAACTAAGTGAACACACCCTTGTAACCAACATCCAGTCAATAGAATATTACCATCCCTCCTGTACTGATCTCTGCTGCACTCTCTTTCTAAAAATAATCACTCTTTCAACTTCTCACACCATGGTTTACTTTTCCAGTGCCGGGTTGGAGCTCCTGTCAGTCTGCCTCTGGAATGCATATTTTCTCAACCACTCCTGGATTCCTTCGATTTTCAGGTCTGGCCAGGGTACGGATGCATTGCCCTATTGCATGAAGATTCAGCACTCTGCCACACCTTTGACTGCTGGGGCCTAATTATAACCGTTGAGTTGAGCCTGCATTACCCTCAGAGCCAGGGCAAGTTCTAGGTGAACTCCTGTTGAGAACAAAGGGAAGTAGCTGCTTGGCTGCATCTCACCTGGTCCTGGAAGAATCTGCCCTTTGCCTCTGCCTGGAGCTGATGTACTGGGTGGAGAAAGGGAAGGGATGTTGGATGCAGCCAGGTCTAGCTTTGTTCTACTCCTGCTTCAACTCTTCAGGGTGGTTTTTCTTAGGTCTTTGCCTTGTTGATTGTCTTTATGTTTTGGAAAAGATGAATCCAAGGTCGGAAAGGGTCTTTTTGTATAGTACAGGTTGAATATCTCTTCTCTGAAATGCTTGGGGCAGAAGTTTCAGATTTCTGAGATTTTCAAGTTTTGGAATATGTACCTGGACTTTAATAGTTGAGCATCCCAAATCCAGAAATCTGAAAACTGAAATGCTTCAAAGTCCAAAATGTTTTGAGCACCACCATGACACTAAAAAAGTTTCAGATTTCAGAGCATTCTTGATTTTGGATTTTTAGGTTAGACTAATCTGTAAGTTTGTGTTAGTCAGCTTTTCATAGCTGTGACAAAATACCTGACATAAATAGCTTAGGGGAGGAAGGATGTATTTTGGCTCATGGTGTCCGTCCATGGTCAGCTGGCCCCATTGCCTTTTGTCCTGTGGTGAGGAAGAACACCACAGAGCAAGGTCATGGAGGAGGAAAACTGCTCAGCTCATGGCAGCCAGGAAGCAGGAAAACAGGAAAGAGAGAGCTAGAGAAGAGGGAGCTGAGGACAAGATGTACTCTTCGAAGGTCCCCCTGCTTCAGCAGCTTAGTTCCTCTAGCTGGGTCCCTCCCTGTAACAGCCATTCAGCCAGGAGCTTAGCAACGGATGAACCCATCCCACCTCTGAACCCTGCTGCACCAGAGACGAAGCCCTTAATACATACGTCTTTCGTAGTTAAATTGTAACAAATATCATCTTAAATAATGGTAAAGAAAACTTCAGGTTATGTAGTGTTTTAGAGTTTACAGAACTCCTTCATCTTGTTATCTGACTATCTCTTGCTACTGAATGAATGTTTATTGACCTAACATACCATTCCTTAAATTGACTTAGTCTTCATGTGATATTTTAAGGTGAATGTGTGAATTTCAATATAATTTAATGTTATGATATTCATCTTCCCTGTTTCATGATACATGTTAAAAGTTGTACCTTCTGAGTTTATGTCTGCATCTGATGGGCTTTTGAATCATTTAAAAAGTTTAATGTATCTATTCATTTCAATTTATTTCTGTTAATATAACTGAACCTCTCCAATGGTTGGGAAGCCCAGTGTCACCATGAGTTGATCTACATAGATAATTTTTAATATTACAATTATATAAGTTAGTATGTAGCACTAGGAAAATGCAAACAATGGGGTAATGAATTGTGTGGGAGTGCGAGGAGAAGGAGATGGGGTGGGATGGATGGGGCAAGACAAGCCAAGGAACAGTGAGGAGCGACACTGAGCTGAGCCTTATGTGATAGACGGTGTCCAGACGAGCTATAGGAAGGAGAAAGGCATTGCAGGAAGAGGAGGGAGCATGCAGAAAGACATCTGGCCTGAGAATACAGGATACCATTGTGGAACATGTGTGATCCAGGTTACCCGAACAGTAAGTGGACATGGTGCGTGGCTAGAGACGAGTTTAGAAAGGTGAAGTAGATCTGGTAGAGCTTGGGAAGCGCTGTGCCTGCCACGCTCAGGAGCTGTGACTTGGCGAGACAGTGGGATCCGTTGGAGACTTGTAATAAGAGCAGCATTCACAGAGTTGTTTATTCACTCAGCACAGTGTAGGCGGACATGGCTCACAAAATGCGCATGGCCATCTCTGCCTTCATGGAGCTTGCAACCAAGAGGGAGAGAAAGTAGGTAATCAGAGCCTTGATCTGCTTGGGCTGCTCGGCAGTGTTCTATAGCAGGGTGGCCTGTAAATAACAGAATGCATTTCTCATATCCCTGGAGGGTGGAACTCAGAGGTTAGCTGGCATGGTTGGGCTGCCTGCTGTAGTTATAGCAGGGTGGCCTGTAAATAACAGAATGCATTTCTCATATCCCTGGAGGGTGGAACTCAGAGATTGGCTGGCATGGTTGGGTTCTGGTGAGGGCTTTCTTCTGGATGTCAGATGGCCGAATTCTCACTGTAGTCTCACATAGTGGAAAGAGGGTGGGAAGTCCTCTCTGTGATCCCTTTTATAAGACAGCTAATCCCACTTACTAGGACTCCACCCTTAATAACTTAATCACCTCCCCAAAGTTCTCCCTCTTGATACCATTGCATGGGAGGTTAAACTTCAACATTTCAGTTGGTTTTTTTTGTGTGTGTGTGGGGAGTGAGGGACACATTCAGCCCATTGCACAGATTAGCACATATATTTATAATTGCAGTTTGATAAGTGTTATAAATGACAAGAGTGTGCATGTAAGTACTTGTGTGTCTCTGTGTCTGCTGCTTGTATGTGTATTAGTGGTTTATACTGTGTAGAGGTCTGGGCCGCCTCTCTGAAGGAGGCCAGGGAGTGTTGATTAGTAAGTGGTAACTGAAGCCTCATGCATGAGTGCGGAGGGTCCTGAGCAGAGCATCTCACACTGAAGGAGTAGGTGGAAGAAGGTAAGCTGAACAATGAGCTTTAGGAGAAATATCCAGAGAGGCGGGAAGAAAACAAGGGGAATGGAAGCCAAGAGAAGGGGTCAGCAGTGTGGTGCTGACTTGTGTTTTGTGAAGATCATCACGTACAATGTGATGAATTGAGAAGAAAACAGTCACATGCCAGACATTACAGGTTGGTGGTTCCCAGTCCTGGCTTCCCATTGGAATACATCCGCCCAGTGCACCTGGTACCAGTTAAACCAGGAGGTCAGGGGAAAGGGCCCTGGCATCTGTAGTTTGAGGCCGCCTGGTTAATTCCACTACACTGGCAGTGCTGAGAGCATCCAGTGTGTCCAGGTGAGAAGAGTGAGTGGGAGGGTGAGCAGAGGGGATGGACTGGGATGTAGCTGGGGCAGAGAAGACTTGGTGACCCCTATATGTAGAGGGTGAGGGAGAGAAAGCAGGCAACATGTATTAAGTACATTATCATTACGCATAATAATTGACTCATCTGTGCTTTTGGTTTTAGATACACCTTTTTTGTAGCCATGGGATACCTTACAATATGCCACATCAGCCGAATATACATCTTCCACTATGGAATTCTCACTACAGATTTTTCTGGGTGAGTATCTTAACTTGGCGGGGGGAGGGTGAGCACTGGCTTTGACCCAGTGTCATAGGGCCTGTAAACATGAGGGTTAGAAGAATCATCATGGCAGGTGAAACCAGTTGGTAAGATACTGTGGTAATGAGGGTGAGATTGAAGATTTGATTGTTCTGTAAGGTTATTAGCTCTGCTGTGTTGTAGGATAAGGGTCACAAACTATACCCCATGCACGTCTGTCCCACTGCCTATTTTTTTTTTTTAATGTGTTTATTGGAACACAACCAGAATTCATTTGTGTTTCTCTCTTTCTGCTTTTGCACTACAATGGCAGAGCTGAGTAGTCGCAGTGGGAAATACGAATTGCAAAGCCTAAACTATCTACTATTTGGCTCTTTACAGAAAGTTTGCCAACTCCTATTCTAAGGTCTGTAGCACAGGGCTGACATTCCTCTCTTAATAATACAGAATTCTTCCATGCTACCTTGGATAGATAGCTGCTACCCTGACCCCTTTGGGTGTCCCCTGGCTTCCCCGGCCCCTCCCCTCGACCCCTTGACCTCCAGCAACTACAAGAGTCATGCCTGGTGCAGTGCAAGGGCCCACATGCTTGTAAAAATCTTGTCCATCATCAGAGCCTTAAGGTGGTGAGCCATGGTCATTTGGTAAAGACGAGACGGATCAGTGAAAGTTCTATGTTCTATTGAGGTTAATTCAGGAACAACTTCATATGCATCTCGAGGAGTAGACACCAAAGCGGAGTTGTTTCTGGTGACAGGTATTAGCCGCGTTACTTCCTGAGGAATTTGGTCTGTTCTCTGCAGCAGCCTGAGGTTGGGGAGAAGCTGAGATCTTCCTGCGGTTCAGCTGCACCCAATTCCCTGGTTTGTTGGTGCCTAGGCAGAGGAAGAAGGGATTATGACTCATATTAGTATCTGTGCACTTCACAGTTGGCTTAAAATAAGCTATCCCACCAGAAGAAGGCTCATGAAGGCCAAAGAATGTTGTTTGGGGCAACATTTAAATCTTCACAGCTGTGATTTGGTCTCCGATGGCCGTTCATCTATCAATTACCCCTGGGCTTCTGGGAGTTTAAGTTTTTTTTAATTTTAATTTTTGCAGTACAGGGATTGAACCCAGGGCCTTTGTGCTGAGCTAAATCCCCAGCCCTGTTATATTTTTTATTTTGAGACAAGGTCTAGGTAAGCCACTAATTTGCCCAGGCTGAATTTGAATTTACGACCCTCCTGCCTGCCGCAACCTCACACAACGCTGGGATTATACATATGTGTCTCCATGCCCAGAATGTATTTTGGATTTTATATGTTTCTCTTTATATGTGTCTTTCCCCCAATATCATGAAGCACATTTCTTTAGCTTTTCTGGGAAAAGTTTATGAACGTTATTTTATTTTATTTTATTTTATTTTATTTTTTTTTTTATTTTTAAGTTTCTTTGTAGAGTTACTAGAATGTAGAAAATGTGGGAGCAAAAAAGATAATGGTACAGCCAGGGAGTTATAGCATTGACAAGTCCCCATCGTGTTTCATTAACAAACTGTGGTTTGGTTTCACCCCAGAGCCCTGCCATATTTATAAGAGTTCTTGGCACTGAATAGGTGGTCAGTAAGTGATGAACTAAATACTCTGGTATTTCTCAGCCCTCTCCCACTTTTTTGCTGTTTCCATTCTTATTCTTGAACACCCCTTCTAGCCGTATTGGTTAGGATAGCGAATGCAAACATTATTTCTTTTCTTTATGATCATACTGAAGATTGACCTCTAGGCCTTCACACTGATCTAGATCTCCAGCTCTTTATATTTTTTATTTGAAATCTTGCTGAATTCCCAAAGCAGGACTCTAATTTGCAATCTAGGCCTTCACACTGATCTAAATCTCCAGCTCTTTATATTTTTTATTTGAAATCTTGCTAAATTCCCAAAGCAGGACTCTAATTTGCAATCCTATTCCCTCAGCCTCCCAGAGTTCTGGAATTACAGGCATGTGACACCATGCCCACCTAAACAAAAACTTTAACTTCAGTCTTTAAGTACATTATTACATGTTTCTCACGCATATCATTTTGTCTTTTGAGGGCAGGATGTGTTCGTTCATTTCTGCAACAGTTTTTGAGCACCCAGTGTACTAGGCGGAGTGCCAGGTGCCAGAGGCACTGTGCATTCTAGGCAGCAGGAAGGCACTCTAGGCAGAGAAAATGGCTCTGCAGGGGCACAGAAGTGTTACACAGGTACCCTGGAGATCTCAGAAAGCCACCTCCCTCTCTCTTATCTCTCCGTCTACGTGTCGCCAGGTGCTGTCAGGCCAGTGGCCTGGCTGTCACTAGACTCCATCCACTCCTTCTCATGCCTGCTGCCACCATCCTGAACCACAGTGTCTAGCACCTGCCGACCTGGCTGCCCTTTCCTCCACCTTGCCCCTCTGCACTGTTGCTTGTGAGAATGAGGTTCTAAACTACAGAGCAGATGCTACCGTGCACCTACCGAACCCTGCCTCCTGTCCTGGCATCTCCTCCTCCCTTTGCTCGATGTGGAGTTTATGGTCCACACTCTCTGGGTTAGTTCACACCTCTGTGCCCTGATCAGAAAACCTTCTCCCATCTTTGCCAATCTGGAAACCTCTCACTTCATTTTTAGAAATACAGCTCAGAGATCTCATGTTTACAAAGCTTCCCTTATTGCTCCACCCTGGAGTCGGAGTCATGCATTGTGGACATGGGGTGGCTGGAAGCCTCTCACCTGGCGTTGGCTGGCCAGTGCTGCCATGGCTTGTCCATCATCATCATCAGCTGCCTGGGGTGTGGCACTGACACCCTGGTAGCAGCACCCACGGCATCGCTCTCATCATTTGTATAGTTTGCTCATCTAGCATATCTGTATTTACTTCCACACTGGATTCCAGCTGTACTTATGTATTTGTGCAAGGGTTCTTCAGAGAACTGAACAAATACAAGTGTGTGTGTTGTGGGAACTGTCTCGTGATTCTGGAGGACATGACGTCCTCCAAGCCTGAGAACCAGAAGGGCTGACGATGTGGCCCCAGGCTGAGGCTGAGGGCCTGGAACCTGGGGTGGGGACTGTGGGTGTCTTTGAGTCTAAGGCCTGGGAACATGGAGTGTAGATGTCTAAAGGTAGAAGATTGATGCCCTAGCTCCAAAAGGGAGGGGAACTCACCTTTCCTCTGCCTTTTTGTTCTATCCAGACCTTCAGTGGACTGGTAATGCCACATTGGTGAGGATAGATATTCTTTACTAATTTAAAAACTCCCATATACAATACCCAGAAATAGTTCTTTACTAGTGGTCTGGGCATCCCTTAACACAGTCAAAGTGACACATAAAGTTTACCCTTATACCTTCTACTGGAGCTGATTCATATATGGATGTGAAGGAGAGATGGAGGTTTCTCTATAACTAGGTTGGGTTTGTTGGAAAGCTATCAAAGCAAAGTTAGTACATGAATAATTGCTGTTGAATGAAGTGTGGATGAGAAATCTAGGGAATGAGGGAGCTTTGTAAACATGAAGGAGTCTTCGCTCAGATTGCTTTGCAGATGTCCATCTTTATTTACCTTCTTGGTGTGTGCTGGGAGAAATGACTTTGGAGGTGGTGGGTAAGTTTATGTAAGAGAGATGCTGTCAGTCAGCAGATCCATACTGCATGGAAAGGTTCCGATTCTGCATCACTCATTGGTTCATTAGTTAACAGACACTGTTTGGGAACCCTGTATATACCAAGCATGGTAACAAGAGAGAGGAGTGAGCAAAGACTGCAGAATGAGTGTGCACCTACCTATTTTAAAATCATGCAGAAAATTAAAATGTGACCGTACCATTGTATACTCAGCTTAATAGTGTCTCTCCAAATTCGTGTCCACTCAGAATCTGTTAGGTTAGAATTTGGAAGTGTTGTCTTTGCAGATGTAATTAGGTAAGACGAGGTCAAGCTAGAGTAGGGCGCACTTCAGATCCAATACAAGTGTCATAGTGGGAAGGTCGTGAAAGGCAGACACAGACACACAGCGAAGATGGGCATGTGAAGATGGAGTCACAAAGTGGAGCGATGTGGCCGTGAGCCAAGGAATGTCAAGGAATGGCGTGGATCCCATCAGCCACACAAAGGACGGAGCGCAGAGCAGATTTTCCCTCGGAACCTCCAGACGGAGCCAAGCCTGCTGACGTCTTAGTCTTGGACTTCTGATCTCCAGAGCTGTGAGGGAAAGTAAATCCTGTTGTGTAGGCCACCAGGCTTGTGGTAAACCGGAAACTCCTATCTAGTGTTTAATGATTTGTACCTTTAAGGCATACAGCTGTCCCATGTTCCTGATTGTGCGGGATCAGAGCACCTCTGCTGACCATGTCTGGGGTTACTCCTTGTATCTCTTCCTTTTGCCCTATTAAAACCATAAACTCTGGAATATTTTTAAAATCATTTTTAGTATAATCGAAATTGTGGAAAGTTACAAAAGGAAAAAATATCCAGGGCACTTGGCGGAAATAACCATGTGCTTGTGAACTGTGCTGGCTTTGGGGTCTGACAGCTGAGGAGACGGCTGTCACTTTCTTTCAGCTTCTCTTGCTGCAGCAGCATCTTGATAAATTTCCTCAAGTGATGTTTATTCTGTGGCATGTTTTGGATCTCTTCAAGTTAAGAAATCTGACATTACACACAAAACGGCAGAATGTTTGAGCTAGAAAAGACACTGTTTTTAGGTAAGAAACTTACAGAAAGTATGTCTTAACTGAGTATCACACATAATTTACTTCTCTGATTGCCGAGTGGCCATACTGTCCAGTTCTTAGAAGGTCTGTTATTGTCTTTTGTCTTGATAGATCATTATCCTTCCATTGTAAATGCAGGGTTTCTCAGTGATACAAACGCATGTTCTCGGAGAGGCTGGTCAACGTAAGCGAGAGGTGCATACCACTCTGAAACTGACAAGATGTTTCACATCAAAAGTTATCAATTAGAGGTTCTTCACCAGTGTCTATTCTCATTTCAG